AATGATAATGATATTCAGAGGTATATTTTTAAATTCAATAATTACTGTGTGCCAGGATCCTTATGTGTCATTTGCTTCCTTATATAATCAGCTTATGACATCGGTACTGCTATTAACAGTACCAGACCAGGGTCAGGGAAACTAAGTAAACTTGCTGAAAGTCATAGAATCTTTGATTTGTCTGACTAAACAATGCTCAACCCTTTAGCCAGTAAGATGAGGATTTGCCCACACTAGTGTCCAAGTCCTTTTCTACTTGTAAAAAGAAGTGCATGTGTGTGTGTGTGTGTGTGTTATAAAGAGAAATGCACAAGTACAGATGATGAATCTTCTAAGAAGTTATTAAGAATGTCACTTTTCCTTTTCAAACTAGTTTCAGTAACCTGAAAACAATGAATTTTAATGTGATTTGGAGTTGGACATTTTGAAATAGTCAGCTGGAAGGGTGACATTTTTATGATCAAAGGAATGGTTAATAGTGGAAGAACTGGAAATCCAGGTCTTAGCTGGGCTTCTTATGTTATCACTTCCTTGTAAAAAGCAAGAGAAAATCATGGTTCACAAATGACTAAAAAATCTTGAAAGTGTGTGATCTGCTCCTAATAGAGGAATCTGGGCAGGGGAGGGCAAAAATGGAGAGTTCTCACCTCTCTTCACATCACTGGCCTCAGTTCTTCCCACACAACCTCTCCAGATAATTCCCCACCTCCAGCCACGTCCATCTGGAGCACCTGTCCCTTCGTGTGGAGAATCCCTTATTTCCTTCCAGTCCTGCCCTCCCTCATCTCCTTGCTTCACTCTGTCTTCTCTTCCTGGTCATTCCTGCTGCCTCCGGTTTCTTTTCAATCCTGACAATGTACCCTGGGTTGGGATTTTCTCTCTGAATCTTTCTCTCTGAATCTCTCTCTCTGAATCACTCTTGCTCTTGGGTAAAGGTGGCTAAAAACTTGAGCAAATTCTTTGATAAACTTGAATAACTTTGTTTTTTTTATTGTAAAAATACTGTACAGAGGGGTTACAATTACATGGGCAAGATAGTGAGTACATTTCTTATCAAGCATTGTAGCCTCCTCCTTTGTTTACCCTTCCCATCCCTTCCCAGACTCCCCCCGCACCCCCCACCTAATCCTCCCCCCCCCACCAAAGTTGTAAAGTTCGTTTTTGACATGAGAACTTGTACTTCTCAAACTTGAATAACTTTGTAAGAAACAAGTTCTCCATGCATACTGTCATAGAATGCCAAGTAGTTAAGACACTTTCTGAATTAAGAAAGAGTCAGGGGATTAGGAAAAGAAGGGAGTGGAGAAGAATGTAATCAAAGTACATTATATGCATGTATGATAAGATCATAATGAAACTAATTTCAAAAATTGCCAGATGCCAATGGCTCATGCCTGTAATCATAGTTACTCAGGAGACTGAGATCTGAGGATCATGGTTTGAAGCTAGCCAGTGCAGGAAAGTCTATGAGATGCTTATTCCTAATGGCACAGCAAAAAGTCAGAAGTAGAGCTGTGGTTGAAGTGGTAGAGGGCTAGCCTTGAGCAAAAAAGCTTAAGGAAAGTGCCCATGCCATGAGTTCAAATCCCAGGACCAGCACACACACACACACACACACACACGCACGCACACACGCACACACGCACACATACAAGCACAATGAAATCCCATACTTTGTACAATACTCATTACACACCTAATACATCAGCTATACTGTCTTCTTTTTTTTTGTTGGTCATGGAACTTGAACTCTGGGCCTGGGTGCTGTCCCTAAGCTCTTCAGCTCAAAGCTAGCATTCTACGATTTGAGCCACAGTACCACTTCTGTTTTCTGGTGGTTTATTGAAGACAGAGCCTCTTCACAGACTTTCCTGCCTGGGCTGGCTTTGAATTGCAATCTCAGATCTCAGCCTCCTGAGTAGCTAGGATTACAGGCATGAACCACCAGCACCCAGCTATACTGTCTTCTTAACTGCCCTTCTTAGTACCCCCATTTGAATATATTACTATATATCACTGCATTTATATTATACGCTCACTTAAATTTAACAATTTGAATTAGTTAAAGCCTTCATTCTGTTTTCAATATAAAATTCATATTGCAAAAGAGATATCATATATAAAATAATAATAATCTTTTTGCATTGCAAAAAGATAAAATTGGAGGGAGGGGCATAAGAAAGAGTAATAAAGGGGTGAGTGTGAATCAACGTATATTATATGCATGTATGGAAATATCACAAATAAGCCCCCCCATACTGTACAGTTCATATAAGCCAATAAAACAAGGTGGAAAATAGTATTTTAAATCCTTATTCCTTACCACAACCTGTTTTTACAGAAAATATTTAAGGTGGTGCTTCAGGTTCACTGTGTTTACAATTCATTTCTTTGAAAAGTTCTACATCAACAGGGTACAGTTTTACAAAAACAAGTCCATTCTGTAAAGACAACTTAGCTACCAAGTGGGGGAAGAGCTGCTTTTCTCTAAGCAGATGAGTGTAGTGCATGATTATCCACAAAGTCATTTTGGTTTTCTATCCTATAATTTATGCTTACATATTGCCTGTCAACCATACTGTGATCAGGCTGGACTTTGGCTTACAGGAAGGGATCGTAAAAAATGGTTTAAGTTGGATTGCCTAGTTAGAACTTCTGAACTTCCTGAAAGAGATTCAATTCAATGTTTAATTTCGCTTGAGGTTAGGGAATACGCCTGAGGAGGACCTTTGGAGCCATCTGGCTTGATTGAGAGAAGCCTTGATACTCAGTAGTGTCTTTGCTGTGTCTGGCCTCTGCCTCTTCTTTTTTTTTCCTGTCACTGCTGTGCCTCAATTCTTCTTCTTTCTCCTCCCCCTCCTCCCCCTCCCCCTCCCCCTCCTCCTCTTCCTTCTTTCCCTCCTCCTCCTCCTTCCTCTTCTTCTTGGTCTTGGGCTTGAACTCAGAGTCTGGATGCTGTCTCTGAGCTCTTTTGCTCAAGGCTAGCACTACCACTTTGAGCCACAGCTCCACTACTGGTTTTTGAGTGGTTAATTGTAGATAAGAGTCTCATGGGGACTTTTCTGCAGGCTGGCTTTGAACCTTGATCCTCAGATCTCAGCTCCTGAGTAGTGAAGATTACAGGTGTGAGCCACTGGCACCTGGCAAAAAAATGTTCAACTTTGGATGGTTGGATTACTCAAGTGCTTTCCCAATCAGTATCCCAGCCTCCAGCTTCCTTGGTCCCATCCACCCTGTCCACTGTCTGTAGGCTTGCAGGCTTAGTTTCTCTAACAACACAGACTAGGGTGGGATCCCTGTCTGTCCTCGTTGGACTGTTCCTACCATACACATCCAGCTTTATCAGGACTGTCTCATTCCATATAAGCCCTGCTCATAGCGCTGCTGGCCAGAAAACTCTGCTCACTGTCCACAAATGGGCTCTATTCACATCAGCTTCCATTTCTTCCCTCTCAGCTGGCAACGCTTTTCCTCAAATTCTCCAACAATTCTCCAACTTGTATCTGACGTGCCTCTCAGAGCCTAGTTCTTGGAGCATCTTCTCCATGAAAACTTCTCCAGGTACTGTGATTCTCTTCTCTATTCCTCAAGTCCCTTACTTTTTCCATTGTTTTACCTCCTCTTCTGAGAGAATGCAACCCCCAAGACAACAACAGCGCATGATCAAAATGGCTGACCGATGCTCCGTGTGGAGCCCTGGCTCCATAGTGTAGCTCAACTTACTCTTACCAGGCCTGTCCAGGTATGAAGGCCCACATGCCTTCCACTAATTCCAGGCTACTTTTTCTGAACTCTTAAAAACTCCAACACTAGCAGGGTACCAGTAGCTCATGCCTATAATCCTAGCTATTCAGGAGCCTGAGACAAACCCAAGACTTTTTTTTTTTGGAGTCCAGTCATGGTGCCTGAACTCTGGGCCTGGGCACTGTCCCTCAGCTCTTCAGCTCAAGGCTAGCACTCTACCACTTGAACCACAGCGCCACTTCCAGCTTTTTTCTTTTTGCTTATGTGGTGCTGAGGAATCGAACCCAGGGCCTCATGCATGCAAAGCAAGCGCTCTACCACTGAGCCACTTTCCCAGCCCAAACCCAAGACTCTTATCTTCAATCAGCCAGGAAAAAAAGCCAGAACTGGATGCATGGCTCAATGGTAACACATCAGTCTTCAGAAAATAAAAACACCCCAAAATAAAAACAAACAAACAAAAAAACTAAGCAAGAATGCAAGGCTCTGAGCTCTGAGTTCAGACCTCAGGGCTGGCACAAACAACCAAACAAAACCAACTCTAGCTCCTATTTTTGATGACACATCTACACCGTATGTCGTGCCACAACATGAAAAACCAGAGTTCTAGTAGCAATTGGAATATCACACATTCCCTAAACACTTAAGGTTCCTGTCTCTAAAGGCCGTAACACTATTACAATGAGACAAAAAGACCTTCAAGATAAAAGTTTGGGAAGCTTCTTTTTCATAGCTCCTTGATTTATACCCTTAGTCTACTGCTATTTATTGTAAGTGTTTTTTTTTAAATAAACAGTTATTACACCCTAACGAGGGCAAATATGTTCTGATATATATCCACAAACTAAACGAGAATGAAACTATGGTGAAAAACACAATGATTGCAGCTCTCTTTAAAATGTCATAGTAATTCACAGGGCACTGGCATAGACTCAGTTTAGACAAACCTTTCCTTAGCAAGGTTCCTCCTATTCAGAATGAAAGCTCACTTTTGACAGAATCCCAGCACTTGGCTCTCTTCTTTTATTGTACTGTATTCTATTGTTGGCAAAAAGCTGGCTACAGATGTCCCACTTGTTCAGACACGTTTCTTTAAAAAAAAAAAAAAAAAAACTAGTCTATTTGCCCAGAACAACTGCCACCCACTGCCTTCGCACCGGCAAAACATTCCAGGGGTTCTGTGCTTGGAGACGCCAAGCACCTTGGAGAGAATAAAGGAGAAGAGGAAGGGTAAGAATCCGATGGGAAAACCTTACCTCAACTTCTGACTGGCAGGGACAGTTATCTTGTTGAGCTTGTCCATTCTTTCTGGTGAGACTCTCACGTCACTGTCCGGAGGTCAGAGAAGGTCAGCCACTCCTGACCCTCCTGGGGAGCAGCATGGCAAGCCTCTGTGCTCAGGGGTTCCAGTCACTGGACGTGACTTCAGAGAGCTCAGGCTGCTGGCGAACACGCCTGCACTAGGGAAGTAAAACTTGCTGGAGCACATCGTCAAGTTTCATGTTTCTACATAATCATGTGATCTGGAGAGCCAGCCAGTTCTGCTGATTACTCCTCATTGTGTAAACTTTAGTAGTGAAACCTTTGGGCATGCAAATTGCTTCCTAGTGGCTATCTCTTATAATCTGGTTTGTTCACAGGTTGGGACCAGCTTCTGACTGGTCACTTCCTGTATGCCCCCAACACATATAGTCCTTGTTTTCAGCAGGTGGCATGAACTCTGTCCCTGGCAACTTCCTTTGCTCAAGGAAAAGGCGAATCATCAATTCCATCTGAATGTTTCCTAGGGACTTTCTGCTCATTTACATAAAGTCATGGATAAGCTTTTTCCATTTACAGAATCATTATATGAAATGGAATTTTAGGGATTGAACTCAGGGCCTCAGGGCTTCATCATGTTTCCTACATAGGTGCTCTACTGCTTGCTAGCAGGTGCCACTTGAGCCACATCTCCAGTTCCTTTTCACATTAATTTTTGAGGCAAGGTCTTGCTTTATGCCTTAGGAAGGACAGAACTGTGTGATTCCTTGACTTAATGCTTCCCCAAATTTCTGAGGATGAAAGGCACACACCACTGTGCCCCAGCTCCTGTTCTGGGATAATAAATGTGTGCTACTGTGTCCAGCCATGGTTGAGATGGAGTCTCACTGGGGTTGGTCTCAAACCTTGATCTACCCTCCCCCAATCACTGCTTCCCAATTATCTAGGATTATTCTTCCCTGTATATGTCAGGGTGACAGATCCATAGCAAATGAGAGTTTACTTTAGAGTTACAATGGCTTTCTCCTAAAGCTCTGTTTAAGATGAGGTAGGTAATTTTCTGTGCAAGGTTATTTAGGGGTAGAGATGGAAAGGGAGATGGCCTCTTTCTAAGCTGGGTAGAGTCAGGAGTTAATCATTCTGAGAGCTTGGCACGTTTAAACCAAACCAGATGTCAGCAGAGAAGAAACTTAATTTCCCAGCCATGTAATTGCCAGCATCAAGTGCCACTCCCCTCCCCACCTTTGTCCTCTCCTGCTCTTGACAATTGCTCACTTCATTGTCTCATCAGACCCAGTGACATGCCGGGCAGATATAGGGCCATCCCAAACCCAGACAGGTGGGCAAAGCCAGGAGGATGGAACCACACCTGCGGCTGCTGAGTTCATCAGACAGCAATACTTTCCTTCTGGGAGTTTCGCACTTCCTCAACCTGGCCCCCAAACCACAGATTTAGAGAGTAAGGAAGCAGTTTGGGGTTGGTCAAGGAGAAAGAAGATAAGAGGGTCTGAATGCATTTCCCTGCAGCTAGCAGGAGTCCTTGATTAGGGTTCTGAAGTGAAGGATGCATTTCCAACATTTACCTAATCTTCTCCTGGGTCTGAAGAATACACAAGGTTAAGAAGAGGGTTCTCAGCCTCTTTGGTAACAGAACCAAGGGAGAGATAGGAAAAGAGGAACAGATAGAAGAGGTGGGAGGAGGAAGAGGAAGAGGAGGAGGAGTGGGAAGGGGAGAAGGAGGGAGGGGTGGAGAGAGAATGTTAGTCCAATAAACTTCCAGGCAACACTAGGCCCATTTGGTACAGGCAGCCAATAATCAACCTCTTCCCCACCTTTATTGCGAGAAGGCATGCCTTTGGACAGTTACAACCATATAAGGCAACAAGATCCCCTTAAAGTGACCTTCAAGTCTGGGCAGCTGCACAGCCCAGTATCTGCCACGTGGGCAGCAGCCATAAATCCTAGTCTGCCATGATGAAGTCCCTGGTTCACACATCCATACCTAGGTCTCCACCTCCTGGCCCCTCCTACCTGGCTCCTGTAGGTTATATAGACACTTCTTTTCTTCTCATTTTGTGAGAAGGGGTCTGGCTGGACCTTTGCTGGCAATAAACCTTTTTTGTTTGTTTTTTCTTTGTGCCTGGATATCTGTAGTTTCTGGCAGGGCCTAACAGGGAGGAAGAAGAGGAGAGGGAGGAAAGAGAGGAGAGGGAGGAAGGAGAGGAAGAGGAAGGGGAGAAAGGGGAGGAGGAGGAAGGGGAGGAGGAAAAGGAAAAGGAGAGTGGGGGACAGTAATAGAGGTAGAAAGCATGGATGGATTTCTTTTCTCTTAGCCTCTTTGTTCAAACAAAGGTTCTACACTTCTCCAGGTCATCCTGATTACTCACATTCATGCTCCACGTCTGAATTTCTGGTTCTGCCACATATTTAGGAGTGGAGTCTTCAAGCTGTTGAAAGGTGAGGCCCTCCTGCTTGGCCAGGCCACTGACTTGGCTAGGACAGCAAAGCAACAAGATCCTATCTCATGGAATCATTGGTTTCCCCTAGTCTAGCAGCTCAATGTTTTTCAAGGGATTTGGAAGGTACTCGAGATCCTTTACCACTTCTTTCCCTCAGCTCCTAGAGGAAAGAAACAAGTAGACCAACTTGATAAAAGCATGTATGATGTTGTCAAAGATGAGGAAAAATGGGCTGTACTAGTGAGATGATGCTCCTTCTGAATTGTCCTGTGCACTCCAGCCATCACTTGCCTTTTCTCTCCACCAGCAACTTTGATCAGCACCTGGTCTGGCAACTACTTATTTCCCCAGAGAAAAAAGTCAGGGGTGGAAGTTACACTTCTGCTTTTTCTTTTTACAGCCATTTGCCTTTCTGCTTTTTACTGTATTGAGGCTGACGTGATAAAAATGAGAGTCTGCTTTCCTAGACTATTTTGTTCCATGCAGTGTGATGTGTGGCAGCCCTGCCATCACTGCTTGGTAGTGGTAACTGGCTTGACAAGGCCAAAGCAAGGATCATCTTAGCTGATAGCTCATAAATGGAACAAGCCTCATGACATGGTTCAATAGCATATGCAGACCAATGTGCCATGATGGGCATTCAGACCCGATCTACGTGGCACTGTGGACGTGGACACATGTCCACAGTGACAAATGACTACATCTAACATTAAAGAACCTTTGAGGGGCTGGGAAGGTGGCTCAGTGGTAGAGGGCTTGCCTTGTATGCATGAGGCCCTGGGTTCGATTCCTCAGTACCACATAAGCAGAGAAAGCCAGAAGTAGTGCTGTGGTTCAAGTGGTAGAGTACTAGCCTTGAAATGAAGAGCTGAGGGACAGCACCCAAGCCCAGAGTTCAGGCCCCATGACTGGCAAAAAAAAAAAAAACAAAAAACACAAAACTTTTGAAATGCCTATATACTGCTGATAAAACTATAAAACACAATCACTTGGAAACAATTTTAATATAGCTAATAAATTTCATGGCCTATTTCACATCTATAACTCAGTATTGGCCACAGATATAAACAGCATTGCTATTGGCCCACACACCAAGGTCATGTGTAATTTTCATTGGACTCCTGTTTCCATTTCCCCTCCCCTGTTTTGTTCTATATGGAGATTGAATCTGCAGCCTTTAGCGTGCTAGGCAAACACTGTGCCACTGAGCTACACATCTAGACTCGAAGTGTTGTTTCTAATAGAAAGTAAAATACAGTCCTGGAAATAACCCAATTGTTCATCAAAAGGAGAATACACAAATTATCTTGGCTCATTCACCTAACGGAGTGCTATTGAACACTGAAAACAAATGAAATATGGATAAATGACAAAAATAATTTGAGCAAAAAAAGCAAACTGAAGACACTAATGTGGCATGGTTTTGTGTATATTAAGTGTGAAGATTTTTTAAATGAAACAATATGTTATTTAGAATGCATACATATATGGCAAAAAACAGTGAAGAGAATAATAAATATAAACTTCAGGTGAGCGGCGAGTATGGAGTGGTATTGGAATAAAAGAGCACACAAGGCTGCAAGCAATAATAATATCCTATTTCTTGCAGAGGACGTAAATGTTAATTTTATTTTAATTATTTATATTTCACACATATTGTATGCGTAAAATATTTAACAAGTAAAATTTAAATATACATTTTTTTTGTTGGTTGTGGGGCTTGAACTCTAGGCTTGGGAGCTGCCCCTGCGCTCTTCAGCTCAAGGTGAGTGCTCTACCATTTGAGCCACAGCACCACCAGAAGTAAAATTTAAAGATCAGCTCTAGAACTACTAAGCAAAGCTACATTAGTATGCCTAAATCTACATCATTTCTATGGGAAGTCTTGAGAGCAAGAGAATATTATATTGAAGTTTAGGGATCAAACCAGCCAATCCTTGTTTCTCTTGATCTCTTTTTCTGTTTCTGGCAACTACTACAATATACTTAGTGAATGCTTTCACTGTTTCCTATACTATGATGACATTCTTTTTATATGTGAAGAAGTTGATTCTTAGGGAGATTAAAGAACCAGTCCAAGTTGTGCCATTCGTCCATGGGAGAGCTAGGACTCAGACTCAGGTGTATTTCCAAAGTCCACACTGTAAATCGCACTCAGGGCTCTGCCACTGCAAGAGACCTGTGATTTAGAAGAAAACCCTGCCCCAACATCAACTTAACCATGACTTTGAGTGAGTCACTTAGTTTCTTAACCACAACGTCTCACTGTAGAGGATAGAGGAAGGGATCCAAGGAGCACTCAGGCTCATTCTCACTTGGAATCTGAAATACTGTCAATGGGCACAGAAATTGGTTAGCATCAGTGGAAACACAGAGTTTTCGGCCTTATAACAACTACCATGTCTATTTTAGGATATGAAATCTGAGTCTTTGAAAGGTATCAAAACTCACTAAAGTCCATCCAGTCTTCATGAGCTAGGTCACTAACCCCTGGGCCATTTATTGCCTCGTTTCTCTTTCTTTGCTAGCTTCTTGCTTGAGGTGGGGACTAGAGCATCCCTAGTAGTATTTTGACACTCATAGGCATGTGTAACAAAGCTTGCCATTGGTCCAGCCCATGCCTGGTCTTCTCAACTAGCACCAGTCAAGGGCATCAGATAGGGGAAGGTCTGAAAGGCAACTAAAGAACTCAGGGAGACAGTGGGAGGAAATAGCAGAAGAGGATAGGCAGAAGGAAAGACAGAAAAGGAAGTGTGACAGATGCCAGTGGTTTGCTCTCCCCTTTTGTGGCAGGAGATGCAGGAAGGGA